TGGTTTATCATCAAGAAACAATGGCAGATGTATATAGGTAAGACTGAATTATTTATGAAACAATGATTGTGATGAGAGAAAGAAGGTTTTGATTTTAATTACACTTGTTTTCAAAAAACATAGGGATGTTGTGTATAGTTTTTGGCTTTGTGTGGAACGAGCTAAATTGAAAAATTTACGATTTTTCTTTGATCGATCGTTTTACGTGAGGTTTACGGAATCAATCGATATGCTGACCTCTTTTTTTTTTTTAAAGAAAAAAAAAGAAAAAAAACACAACTATATTATGAATAAGATGACTTACAGTAAATTAATCAAGTCATTAAATCTTTAGAACTCAGATTTTATTAAGACTCATGTAATGGTTTTGGTTAACTGCAAAAAAAAAAAAAATACAATTATAGAATGATCTTAAACAATAAAAAATAAGTAGAATTTGAAAACTTTATAATTTAATGTGGTCAAAGAATTTTATATTTTAATTAATTTAAAAAATTATATTTTTTTTTTTGCTTCGATCATTCGATCACCAAAAAATGGATTTGCAGTTTAATAAATATCACATTTATCCGGAGAAATTATCATTAAGCAATTCTATTTGCAAGTTTTGTTTGTAAAGGTCCATTAACAAATCAGCTTCATTTCACCGTCAAATGTCTTCTTTTATTTCCGTTAATAACTTAATATAAATTATACTCAAAAACCATTTCGGGTGTATTTCAAACAAAGCTATTTAACAATAACTGAGTTCTTCGTTTCCCAATTTTTCAATTATCACCAACCCTATACCAGAAAATATACCGAGAAACAAGACAAAATTAAATAAAGAAAATGTCCAACTTCTTTTTTTGTCATGTTTAACTGCTTCTACTTTATATTTTCTCCTCTCTATCTTTTGTTCAACTTCAATATTTTCACCTTCAATATCTTCACCTTCAATATCTTCACATTGTTTTGAATTCGAAACTTCAGTGATCTCCGCATGAGAAAGAATCTTATCATAAGGAGTTTGAAGTCTGACTGCCGGCGTCTCTGGATCTGAAGTTTGACATTCTTGTGAATATTGCAAATATTTGGGGGTCTGGGTTGACTGTGAAGCTTGTGAAACATTGAGTGTCTGAGTTGATTGTGAAAGTTGTGGGACTCTGGGGATTTGGGTTGATTTTGAAAGTTGCAAAACCTTGGGAGTTTGAGTTGATATTTCAATTTTGTTGTGATCTTGCGATGGCGGAGCCTCCGTTTTCGGTGAGAACTCCCCAGTGACGGTTTGTGTTGAGGTTGTGAATTGTGATACTTGAGGTTTGATAACTTGGTCGGAAAGGAAGGTTTGGATTTCAACTGATACCTGTGGAGGTTTGCATGATCCAGTCATGGGCTGTTGAACTCCAATAGATGAGATTAGTTGATTGTTTGAGGTAGAAACATTTGATAATAGATTATGCATGATAAGAGCGAGAGGTAATCCGACCCAGCTCTGCTGGATTATTACAGAATGAGAACAATCGGCATTATTCGGAGTTTCGGATT